CATTAAATTCTGGCATTCTGGGACGCTTCCAATCACGTACAGTATCATACTAGAATTTTTGTGTCTGTAACTCTGCAAGTATTACAAATACAGTTGAAGTCAGATTTATTCGCCCCCCAGAATTATTAGCCCCTCTTATTTATTTTTTTTCCTCAATTTCTGTTTAACGGAGAGCAGATATTTTCAACACATTTCTAATCATAACAGTGTTAATAACTCATCTCTAATAACTGATTTATTTTATCTTTGTCATGATGACAGTAAATAATATTAGACTAGATATTCTTCAAGACACTTCTATACAGCTTAAAGTGACATGTAAAGGCTTCACTAGGGTAATTAGGTTAACTAGGCAGGTTAGGGTAATTAGTAATTAGTTTTTGTATAACGATGGTTCTGTAGACTATCAAGAAAATGTTTAGCTTATAGGGGCTAATAATTTTGACCTTAAAATGGCTTTTAAACTAGCCGAAATAAAACAAATAAGACTTTCTCCAGAAGAAAAAATATTATCAGACACACTGCAGAGAAATTAAAATGGTCGTGCCCAACTGAGTCTGGTTCTCTCAAGGTTTTTTTTTCTTCACTCCCATCAGGTGAAGTTTTTTTCCCTCTCCGCTGTCGCCACTGCCTCGCATGGTTCATGATTGGTAGAGCTACGCATCGATGGATTTGCTCTTCAGTGTTTGAACTCTCAGTAATGATTAAATCACACTGAACTGAACTGAGCTAAACTGAACTGAACTGAACTTAAACACTAAAAACTGAACCACACTGTTCCAGTTACTATGACCATTTATGTGAAGCTGCTTTGACACAATCTACATTGTAAAAGCGCTATACAAATAAAGCTGAATTGAATTGAATACTGTGAACATTTTCTGAATCTGTTAAACATCATTAAAAAAATTCAATGTGGGGGCTAATAATTCTGATTTTAACTGTGAATAACTAGCTCAGAGATATTGGCAGGGCCAGATAGAATCTGCAGACGTTTTTTGCTATTTCTGCTGAGAATTTTGGTAAAAATCTCCGGATTTCTGCAGAATTATTTTGGGAGTATCCAGCCGAGTATCATAACTAAAACCTTAATATATGAAATAAAAAGTAATACATTACTGAAATAAAACTGAATAAATTCAGATTTACACATTTACTCAAGTAAATAACAGAATTAATGATGGGCTAAACAGATATTGCGTAGATAATATCTGACAGGCCTAGATATTGCGATTTCAAAAAACAGTAACCTGCTTAACAAAATGTATTTCAGATGAGCATCTGACCGCAGAAGAGATGGACGAACAGAGGATTCAGAATGTGGCTTATCAATATCTGTGTCGTCTAGAGGAGGCCAAAAGGTACACACACACACATACAGCATATACATGAGTTTAGTAAAACACACTGCTTTGTTTGTAGCGGCCATGTTTGATGCTTTTCTTTAATCAGAGTGTCCACGGCGTCTTAAAGTATTAAAACTCAAATTAATGTAGAAACATTTAAAGCCCTTAAAAAGTATTTTAAAGTCTAAAATGCTATTTTACAAAGTAATAACTTATTTATCATTTATGGTTGTGTGCTAAAGTTTGCCTGAATTAAATCTGCGACTATCAGAATGCTGTGTAGTTTATTAAATCAATAATATCCTGCTAGATTTGACATCATGCTGCTTTGTTTACTGCTGTCATGAGAGCGACACTGTTATTTCTGCAGTTCTAAAGGTGTCAACCTGCGGAATTAGCTAGATTTAATAGATTTGTATCAGTATGAATAAAGTTTTAGTTTATGATTAGTTTCTTACATTAATATTTAGTATATACTGTAAGTCAAAATGTCGTCAATGTTTTCTTTTAAAACCTAAAGTGGTTGTAAGGTCTTAATGTATGGAAAGTGTCTCAAAAGTGTCTTAAAGGCTTTAGCAAGTTTTGAATTTCACTCTCTGATTACTGTATATACTCTGTTGATGTTTGATGTTATTTTACTAGTCAAATATATTGATAATTTGATTAATATGCAGTTATTTAGTCATTAGCCACTATTAAAGGGATAGTTCACCAAAATGTAAAGTCTGTCATCATTTACTCATCTTTCCCTTGTCACAAACCTATTTTAGTTTCCTTTTTCTGTTGAATACAAAAGAAGATATTTAGAATGCTGGAAACCAGTAACCATTGACTGGTCATATTCATCATGTAAACACACCAAAATCAACATGAACATTATAGCAGACACTGTAAACAGCTAATTCCCAGCTACTAGACATTACTAACAGGGTATTTAAGTGTCAGGCATTATCAATGGAGTTGAGATATTACGAGTGACTATGGCAATTAAATATTTAAGTTTAATAAAATAAGTAATGTTATGTGTGACGTTTATAAAATCTTTACACACATTCCCCATTTTATACACGTTTTAATAGATTTAAAAGTGCACTTGTGTGTCTGCCTTTTTTATTGATCAAGTGATAGATTTTAGAAAGAATAATAATCCCATTAATCTAGGCAACCACAGTAACTGACTCTGAGTTAAAGTTACCGCTGCTTCAGAAACAGGTTTGACTTACCCTGCTTTCTCGAGTTTAACAAACCTGCCATTTTGAAACGGAAAACCCAGAGTTTCTCTCATTTCAGGGTTAAAATACTCTGAGTTGTCACTTAACTTCCTTTCTGAAACAGGCCCATTATTTTGAGAAACATTTCAATGTTTTGGAGCAGTAAACATGTCAGGCTAAATAATTTAAATAAATCACTGACTTCTGCTGTCTTCATTTATTTCAAAAACAGATTTTCTTTACAATTTAAAATGGCATTTTTGGACACCTTTCTGTTGGAGATACTGATGTCCAAAAAAAAGTAAATAAAAAATCTCACGGAATTGCAGAAAATGTTGACTGTTTTAAAACCTTGACTTTTCCAAACCTTTGTATACCTTGAAAACGGTTCTCGTCCATGTCTAGTATCAGCTGCACAGCTTATACATTATTATCCAGTTAGTAAGAGATTGTAAAAGCATTGAAATGTATTTCCTGCTCACTGGCCTGTTGTGAAGCGTTTAGATTTTGGTAGCCTGACTTAAAAAAAACAACAGCCTCTGGACGTCGTGATTTTGTGAGCCCTGCAAATGATCGATGCTGTTTGTGTGTGTCTGTGCCGTGTGCTGCAGGTGGATGGAGGAGTGTCTGAAGGAGGATCTGCCTGCTCCCACAGAACTGGAGGAGGCTCTGAGGAACGGTGTTTATCTGGCCAAACTGGGCCACTGCTTCGCTCCTCGTGTGGTTCCTCTCAAGAAGATTTATGACCTGGATCAGCAGCGCTACAAGGTCAGCACATAATGACTGAAGGTTTGGGCCGGGACACGTCAACCCTGCAGTCGGCCATTGGGTTTTGATGGTCGTCGGTTCGGCTAGTGTATATGTGGTGTTTACCTTTTGTCGGCACTCATTGACCAAATTCAGTAGGGCTGCTTGATTATGGGAAAAATCATAATCACGATTATTTTGGTCATAATTGTAATCACGATTATTCAAAACGATTATCAGTTGAAGTCAAAATCATTCTTCCTCCTGTGAATTTATTTTTATATATAAATATTTAACAAATTATGTTTAACAGAGTTTTTTAAAAAATTTTTTTACAGTATTTCCTATAATATTTTTTTCTTCTGGAGAAAGGCTTATTTGTTTTGTTTCAGCTAGAATAAAAGCAGGTTTGAATATTTTTAAACCTATTTTAATAGCTCGATATTATTAGCCCGTTTAAGCAATATATATGTTTGATTGTCTGCAGAAGAAACTACTGTTATACAATGACTTGTCTATTTAGCCTTATTAAGCCTTTGAATGTCACTTTAAGCTGAATACTTAAACATCTAGTAAAATATAATGTGCTGTCATCATAGCAAAGATAAAATAAATCAGTTATTAGAAATGAGTTATTAAATCTGTTATGTTTAAACTGTGCTTTAAGCATCTTCACTGTATTTTTGATTTTATTATTAATTAATGATAAAAACAGTCGGCAGCAGCAGGAATACCGCACGCTCACTTTAAGAATAGTGCGGCTCTGATATGGTTTCTCTTTCACGTGTCTTTTGATTCTCAACTTGTTAGTTTATTACACAAATGAGGGTTAGTATGAATAATCACTAAACACCGCGCTCTGACACTGATGTGCATGTATTTCACCATTAAAGCGCTCACATTAAAATCGCGTTAGATGTGTGTGTGCTCTGCTGTCCGAGGCTAAGCACGGCGCGCACACACACAACAGCATGTGCTCTTTTGCGCTTTTAAAAATATGAATGATGCGCATCCCGTGCTGCAAAATTTACATTGCAGCACTGCTTTTAGTCATTTTCACGTGGAACTGAGCTTTGCAGAGGCAAAGAGTTTTCACACGTGTACAACTGGAAAGGGGGCGGTACGTGATGGAATAATCGTTTATCTCGATTAATGTTTTTTCATAATCGTTACAAGCCAAAATCGAAATCGGGTTTTAGATTAATTGCACAGCCCTAAAATTCAGTATGTAGAATCGGTGTCTGCTAAATAGAATGCTCTGATTGATTATTCAGCAGCCAATTTAGAGTGCAAGAGTGGCATAGTGAAGTGACATAGCAAGTAAACAATTCCAGCTAAGAGGGAACACTAAGAGGCCGGCTCTAATTTCACTCCATTTCTCAAGTATTTGCAGACAATATGGGATATTAGACATATTTGCAGGAGCGAATCCCTCGGTGGTGAGTGACATTTATTGTGAAAATGAACATGATCATACACCTGCCCCCCAAAAAAGTGATGTTTAGCTATTGTCAGACCGGCGCAGCTATCATTTTCACTTTCTGGGTTTTGTCGATGCTGGTTATTTGGTGTCAGCTTGGTGTGAATATGATCCAATGAAAATTATCATTTTCTGCAAAAAAAATTTGCTATTTGTCTTAAAGTAGGAACCCTGCTTTCATCTAGGATGTCATGTGCATGGCTCCATATTTTAAGGAAACATCATGTATATATTAATCTTTTAAATGACGTGACGTGTGTGATTTGTGCTGCTCAGGTCTCTGGGCTTCAGTTCCGTCACACTGACAACATCAACCACTGGAGGAATGCCATGATGGAGGTCGGACTGCCAACGGTAAATCTGATTCATTAATATATATAATCATTTTAAACGGGTCTTAATTGTCCAATGTTCAGGTAAACCTGGCTAACATCCATCCAGTCGCCAACAGTCCATCCTAATACAGCTTTTACAGGGTATCTGTGAGGTCTTCAAAATGTCTTAAATTTCAAAAGCAAAGTTTTAGCCCTTAAAAACTCTTAAATCTACAGAAGTAGTGTGTTTTAGGTCTTAAATCTTTTTTTAACACGTCCTAATTTTCCTTTGTTCATGTATAGCTAGCTCCCCAATTTGCTCATTAACACTCACCAACAAAATCTCAATAAAACATTTTATTTAACAATAGCATCTTTGACTCGGTTTACCGTAATGTTTTATTTACTTTCCTTACAGTAACATTTGTTTAAAAGTTATCCATTTATTTACTGCTGAGGAGACTGATCTGACCTATATTTATTATTATTAAATGAATTACATTAGTATGTATTACATTAGTATGTATTACAGTGAAAATCTTTTCCAACTGAGATATTCGAAAAAAATCCTTAGTATTTAGCCTTGTATAAGTCTAAAATTTCTTTCATAATGGTCTTTAAAAGGTCTTAAATCTTAAATTTAACTTTAAAACCTGCAGAAACCCTGTTTTAACAAGTTTTTCATTAACTCAGTTTACCAGTGTGTGGTTTATTTGTCTTTCTTACAATAACTCCATGTATTTATTGCTACCTGGTGAAGAAAGACTTGGAAAGAGTGTTGTACGGTTAGATTAATATAAAGCAATTTTTTAAAAGTTATGTTGAAAAATGTATGTGTGTATTAACTTCTGTTTGACTGTTTTTACTCATAATTTAAAATATGTAGTTATAAAATAGTTGTATAATTCGAGCAAATGTAAATCCATTAAGTAGGGCAGGGAAGTAAGAATCATTTCTACAGGCTATTAGAAAACATCCTCACAATTCTGTCCTGTATACCTATATCTGAAAAATCTGTGCTAGACGTTTTCTCAAAAGTAAACCTTTAAAAGCTGCTTTAGATGTTTATCTTATGTATTGTATATTGCTATTGTTATTATTTTCAAAATAAAATTAGTATTTTTAAAGTCTTGCGAATTTGATCAGTTTTTTTGCCATGAAATAGCCAGAGACGCTATGATATGATATGTCAATAAACTCAAGTCTCTCCCTACAAGCCTGAAATTTCAGTCTTAAAGGTTTAAAATTTGATTTGATGAAACCTCTCTCGAAGAGAATAATGCTAACCTGCTTCTGTCCTGCAGATCTTTCATCCAGAGACGACGGATGTGTATGATAAGAAGAACATGCCGAGAGCGGTGTACTGTATTCATGCTCTGAGGTCTGCGTCTGTGCTCATTATTATCATAATCACATTCTGTCTCTGTGTGTGTTAATGACTGCCTGCTTTCTGATCTCTTCTGTTAGTTTGTACTTGTTTCGTTTGGGACTCGCTCCTCAGATCCACGACCTCTGTGGAAAGGTCAAGTTCACCGGTAAGATTCATTATAATTTATTTTATTAATTAAAGTGATGCACTTGTATGTTTCATAGCAGAGCAGTTTTCCTTTCTTGAGTCCTAAAGTGAAATCAAACATTTTCTCTTTTTATTTAATTGTATCCAAAGTAAAAGTGTGCCGTGTATGTTTATTATGTATATATTCATTATAGGTGTGGCATAAATTCATTTTTTAATCTTGAAATTAATCTAGATTAAAACGGCTCATTTGAATTCTGCCTAAGGCATTCAGAATGTGATCTACCCAAATAATAACTAAAAGTAAGTCTTTGAGAACGGGTTTCTCAAGCCAGGGGCTCAACTCCTGTTTCCAAAATGCATCACAAACTGCTTAAGGAACTGTTCTACTCTGATAATTGGTGACGAAAATAAATGATGTTTAATAAGATGCACTTGTGTTTACTAACTGTTTATTCAGTCAAAGATGAATGTTGAATTGTCGACCTACATAAGCTCCAAACAGCCATTTTATGCATATATCTAATTTGCCACACTTTATACATTGCTGTATTTGACTTTGAGAAAGGTGTAAGAAGCAGGATTTATACGCAGTGTTTTGTGTTTTTTGCAGAGGAGGAGATCAATAACATGAAGCTGGAGCTGGATAAATACGGCATTCAGATGCCGGCGTTCAGTAAGATTGGAGGAATCCTGGCCAATGAGCTCTCTGTGGACGAGGCAGCAGGTGGGTGTGGCAGACCGCTCAATTAAACTAATAAATATAATTATAACTAAAATGTTTATTAAAATATGCTTTTAAGATTTTTTTTCTCATGATTTATAACTCCCTCTGTGAAACCCAGACTAATGTCGCATAATATATTTCACAGAAAAAGCTTCTAAGTTGTACA